CATTCCTTGTCGGAGGCAATCGATGTCATCGTTGCTAATTACTGTTGACTTGAAAGTTCTGCGCATTTTTTTATATTGACTGTGTCACAAACATTAGTAACACACGCACAGCCAGTATATGCAGGGGCGAGCTGGCATGAATGTTTCTATTGGGTAGCAGTTAGAATATGACCATAGACCAATTGTGGGAGCAAATCCGGCTGATGCTGAAACTATGATCTTTCATTGGTTGATCAGATTCTATTCTCTGACCCCATTGGTTAGTTTCAGCTTCAGCCGGATTTCAGCATCAGCCGCGACATTCCTTTTCTACTAATTAGTTACATTCTATCGACACGCTCCATAATTACCTAATAAAGAGGATGTATGACTGCATTGAATCGACCATTATGAAGTTATGCGCAATTGAAGGGCTTGTGAGTGGATAGTGTAATAGCATATCTAGCATATCTAGCGTGCAATTGATCTTTCTCATTGCTATTTATCGTGACACATTAAGGACACGATATTCGATGCTCACACTAATTGTTGGTGGCAGTATAGGTAGACAATGCAAATACTACTAATATAATACTAATGTCATTTTTCGCATCTGCCTATTAACTGTTATGCTCTGCGTTGTTTTTAATCCTCATACTGTTGATTCATAAGGCTTAGCAATATTTTATTATAGTGATTTATACTCTATCCATGATGTATATCGGACTGTGTATACGCATAATCAGTCAAATACTTTATTCCAAGTCAACAAAGCAATATTAATTGTTGTTCCGACCAATCAGTGTTTCTCTCTTCAAACTAATTAAAGATTTGAGGTGATAGAACGTAAACATGCAGAAGTCAGTCCTTCACAATAATTTATATCCGTATTGCTGAAATTTCCAGAGTCATAAGCAAAAGTCTAATTAAATGTTTAAAGCACTATTAGTATAGTAGATACGTAAAAGCAACATCAGAACCGTTTGTCATAAAAGGTTACTCATACGTACTATATATCTGGCAAGACGTTTAAAGAAAATGTTAAAGGTACGTTCGAATAAAATACGCGTTATTATCACAAGTTTGATATCTCCAAAGATTTTGTCAGAATCTAAACACATGCAATCGTAAGAACAAAATTAAAAAGCGTGACTGTATTTTGAAAATATATATAGTCTCACGCACTTGAAGTTTACTCACCGAAATTATTATTGCCATGCTTTCTAACAATGCTGTAAACGTATCTCATACCTTGGCTAAATAGACGTTTCTAATGCATTTAAGCGTGACCACTTTGCAAATTAAACAACCTAATTCCAAAGTAATTAACAAAACGACTAAATTAAATTTTTAATTATTGGAGTAGTATATTTGTATTCACGTAACGTACACGTTACAAATTATAATAGTAATAATAACAGTAAACTAATGTCAATATGTAAAAGTTGGGAAAGTACAAAGACAAATCAATATTTTGTTAACCTTTTTTAGATACTATCCGGGGACTTTGACGCCTAGTTTGTTAATTTTCTTGCTTTCAGTATAACAATTGCCTGAACAAAAAATACGTAGATGGTTGACAAATGCAAACTGCGGCTTTTCTTGCTACGGTTTATATATTGCTGGAGGTTTGCGTTGTAAATGTCGTAAATTTAGGAAGAGAAAAAGAAAATAAACCTTTTTTTTTATTAGTTATAATTTTACTATATTAAAATCTGCAACAACTGCTTACGTTTATACCAAATTGGTACACAACGTGATAGCCGAAGGAATAAAGATTTTTTGCACCTTTTGACATATTAATATGTGTTTATAAAACTCGCTCGGCTGTCACTTACGGAAAATATTTGTCGTCTATTATGATTGATGTATATTCCATCTTTCTACAAAATTGAATGTATCTAAAATTATTAGCATTGGTCAATATTATGATTAGTATCCCGGTTGATCATGTACTTGAAGTGTAATGTAATTCTCGCAATTGCACTAACAGTTAACTTTAACCTGCAAATTACGAATATATGATATTTATTGTATGTATATCGTTTTATCGTATAACCCAATCCTGTTTTAGATTTTTTTTAAACCTTAAGAGCCATAAGAAGTTTTTTTATAATAAAGTTAGCGTATTAATTTAACAATTAAATTTTGCCATTTAATCGATTGACTAGAGTAATATTGTATTTAGATTTTGTGTGACAGATAAATTCCGATGATGACTCGTACGTACGTAAATGTATTTTCACAATAATTTTATATACATCAAACAGAAGTTGCTTTTTTATAATAACAGAAGCTAGATTAGATTCATGTGAAAAAATAAACAATTTCCAATTTAGCCGATTCCCCTTGATGCTCCTACCCAAATTTGAGAAGGCCCAAACATCCGAAAATAGTTTGCTCAGAAAAATAAAGGTGTTACCATTATCCGTGACAGTCGATTACATTTTACATTTTCCAATTCTGGGCACTTATTGGACAAAAAATTATTGCTTGACTTCAAAATAATATATACTATTACATAGAATGGACTTTATCTGCATGATACCATGTGTGTGATAGGGATAATAATAACCGGAACAGCCAAATGCATAACTGGATAAATATACGTTGGTTTATAAATAGAATCCCCTCAGCGTCAATTTTCGAAAACAAAGCTTATTTTTTGAATTACTAGTTGTGTTAGAAATCACTGCCTCTCAAACGATATATATAATAGTTTAGCTCAACGGCCAAATATATTTCTTTCGAGCCTAGAATTTGACTAACTTGTTTAACGTAGAGTCGATAAGAAAATTAGTACCGACGCATTTCTTTTTCTGAACCTCTTTAAACCCATAACTGTATTTATTGGCTACAATACATGATTGGTTATTCTAATTCATCTTGTGTGTTTCTCCTGCAACAAACATCAAGCGTGCATAATAAGTTTTTCCTAGCCCCGCACTATAACGAAAGTCTGTTACAATTAGCAAGCACTACACATATCTACTCGTGTGAGTATTAATTACCTGTGACCACTATAAACCGTGAATTAGGGTCCTTGCTAGTACTAGTTCTCAAATATACTTGGCATCTGACCGGATATGGAATAGACTATTTACTGACATGTTGATTTGCTAAATGTACGCTCAAATTGCAACATCTTTTATTTGTGTCTTTGTTCTTATTTTGGCAGTTATCATCTGACAATCCTACGATCTCTAATTTTAGTCTCTCCTGCCTTACCCAATAGCCGATAGCTCTGCATCAACGGATGTGCCTATGTCTTACTTTACTTAGTTTGAATGCAACATTGTTCTCCAATGCTAAAATAATAACAATCGTTGCCGGAGATTATCCATTGTCCGTGTATGTGAACCAATAGTATTCGTATTCGAAAATAAACGTTTATCCGAGTTTGGCTAACTTCTCAACATATTCTTATTTATAACTGGATTTAAAAGAATATTCCACGATGTAATAATAATTACTAACAATATAAATATAATAAATTGTTGTGGAAGCTGGAATAAAACCAGATAAAGCTGAGATTAGAAATCGGTGTGTCCAATCAGATACATTTCATTTCAAACCCTCATAAGTCAAGTCGAATTGTCGGAAACGTCATTTATCTTCTCATCAGTATTTTTGTGGGCACCGAGTAGGATCAAATGCCATAGAGATCGACTCACAATGCAGTAGATGCAACTAACTTGATTGTATGGCACATTTACTAAATATTGATTCTTGACATGACACAAAAATGCACCTTTACATTGATCGAGTATTTTCCGCATTGCTGCGGTTAATTTGAAACAAGGGGTTGTCATTATCATATTATTTATGCGGCATATTTTGACTGCCGATCGTAAGGTTCAGATTCGGAATGTTTTGCCCACGCCCGCCCGCAAATTATTATTATTGAACGACCTGAGATAATTTGACCAATACGGGAATTTACACTCCCACCAAGTCTAGTGCCATCTGATCGTTGTGTTACAACAATCGTTTTTAGGTCTCACTTTGGACATTTGGCTAACACACTCTGCAGATTCAATAACGCTTGCGCTACAGTCATATAGGCTAGGCTAGCGAAACAACTGTTTGTTGGATACCTCTAAATTGCTCACATATCGTTATATATGTGGCTGAGACCACGAAAAGTGCTTTTTTAATCCTTGGCGTGAATATGTATGGTCGTTTCGCATATCAAGAATCTTATCCATCTGTTTATCTCCCCGCAGCCCTGGCATATTTCCCTGTTTGGTATAAGCGGTAGCTCTTTTTAGATATTACCGCAAGGTAAAAAAAAACCCGTCTGTTTGATGTACAAAATAATATTCATCATTGTTGTCATGTGATAATGCATTAACTTAAATAGTAACGGAAATAGAAATATAAATTATATTTCATTTTTTAACGGAGGGTAAAGAATATGCACGCAGTTCTATTTTAGGTGAAATAAGTCAAACTCCCACCTTAATCAGACTATAAATATTTTCATTGACAATTTGGTATATCAGTTTCTATAGCTGAGCATCTCCGCCTTGTGCCGCTTGTAGAGTAAAAGTTAATGGACTACTGCAAACTGACCCAAAAAAGAAAACTGTCTCTCTAAAGTGATTAACGCTTATCAGAAAAAGTCATTGACGAATTCTAATTAAACGAAAAACAGAATGAACAACTACTTATCAACAAGGACACTGAAATGGTCATGGATGCCAGTACTGGTTCTGCTTTTTATAATGACGTTGACGGTATCCGCAGACCTATTCCAGCGGTGGCAACCAACTTCGTACCGTTATAGGTAATTAATTGAATCAGAAAATGCAGTTGATCATGTAAAGCGGATGATGGGGAGCTTATGGATATCAACTATGAGATATTAATTAATGCTTATCGCTATGAGTTGTATTAATGGTTATCTTGGTGATTCTTCTCTCTCAACTTTTTCTTCCTTGACTCACTGAATTCACATATTAACGCTATCCTTACCTTGAAAACTCATCCGATAACACTCTAGCGATGATACAGGTACAATGATCCAAACACCGTCCGACGCAGTCGCTGCAAACCTTAATCCCACAAGTCCCCGCGTTACAGTAGGCTGCGGGGACGCAGTTCCAGCTGGCCAAGTACCCCTTCCCCGCTGTGTATCGGACATAGGCTTTGGCTACGCAGCCGCTCAATACGATATCAACACGCGGAAATTATATCGCTCTATTCGTAGAACAAGTCATCTAACCACATTCTTTGGCCAATACATTTCTTTCGATATTGTCCAAACAACCACGAATGTGACTGCTAATCCGATAGCTGTTCCAAGGGATGATGAAACATATAGCGGGTTCGCACCGTCAGTTCCTCTTTTTAACTTTAACAGGTCTGCATTTACTGACAATACCCCAGCAGGACATGCAGGGATCAATCAAGCATCCCCATACTTGGATTTAGAGCAATTATATGGTAACAATCCTGCGCTGCAACTGCAATTGAGAGATACCGCTAGTTCAAGAGGTTATCTAAAGACTGGTAGTCCTGGATATGCTCCATTCGATCCCGCTAATCCAGTAAAATACCTCGTCGGCGCTGCCAACCCTCGATCACGTAACTTGTTCGTAATGGCCATCCACACTGTTTGGTTACGTAATCACAACAGACTGTGCGATCAGTTGTGGGCGTCACACGGTACGTCATGGACCGATGAAGACTACTTCCAAGCAGCGCGTAGATTGAACAAAGCATACTATCAAAAGATGGCCACGGAAGAATACCTGGGTGTAGTTCTTGGGCGTCCTTTACCATTATATACTGGTTATAACCCCAATCTACCTGTCGGCGTTGATACTGTCTTTGGTAGCATCACAATGCGATACGGACATACTGAGCTGAGCGATTCATATCACTTGCAAGATATCAACGGCGAGGATTTGGTTACTATTCCATCGACCAAAATCAACGACGAGACTCTGCTCGAAAAGTTTTCGTTAGAAGTCGTTTTGAGGTCGCTGGCCATGATCAGGCAAGAGGAAGTCGATGGATTGATATCGGATAATATTCGTAATAATTGTCCAACTCAATTGCAGTGTTTCGATAACGCGTCTACTGACGTCAACAGAGCTAGAGATAGAGGTATTCCAGTGTATAATGTAGTGAGACAAGCATATGGGTTTCCGCCAGCGAACGGTTTTGCGGACATTACTAGCAATCCTGTAATGCAAACTCGGCTTCAAGCAATTTATGGAACTATTGATCAAGTAGAAGCATACGTTGGCATGTTTTTCGAGGATCATTTGTCGGGATCTAACTTTGGACAAACTCTTAATGCCAGCATGATTACACAAGTACATATATATATATATATTTTTTTTTTCTTTCAGTTGTTGAAAATTTCCATATCCAAAGGTTTTTCTTGCTAATAGGACTTGTTTCTTTTGATATATAGTTTTCCATCTTTCGTGATACCGATAAAACATGGTACGAAAACACGCTCACTGATGATGAGAAACTAGTTCTTCGTAATACAACTTTCCGGGACATTGTCCTTGCGAATCTCATACTTCCTGATGGGACAAACTTCCCGCAGAATGTCTGGACCGTACAGCCCGATACCGCATCCTCGGATAGTCAATTAGACGCCGAATTTCCTGGAAAAGTTTCTCCATGGACGCCCTATACGTTGAGGTGGAGGATCGCGGGAACCACGATTCACTTTGCAGTCGAACTAGCCACGTCATCTGGAAACGGATGGTTTGGAATTGGATTCGGTCCTACTGACGATGGTATGACTGGAGCCGATATTATTGTTGGGATCGTCAATAATGGAAACGTCGTAATCATGAACTATTATGCGACCGGTTATCAGCCACCTATTGTTGATCCCGTTCAAGAAGTTCAAACTGAAAGTCAGAGCGTGTCTAATGGACTTGCGCGTGCTCAATTCACGCGATCTCTAACGTCTAGTAATAGTGACAAGCGTAAACCTATCAAGAACCAAGACTTGAAGGTGATTATGGCGTACAATCCAGTCAGTTCGATCTTGACATATCACGGCAACAATCGTCAAAAGTTTCGCATTAACTTTTACACAAATACAATTGCGTCCGATGCTAATGCTGCGTCGATTATGCGTACCAGAATAGCACATGGAGTCTCAATGTTTATTGCTTGGGGGTAAGTACAGTGGAAACAGTGGAAACAGTGGTTGCATTTCGCAGGCCAGCGCATGATTTACTAACTAGTTTACTATCGTAATCATTAGAATTATCTATCCAGCTGCTGCATTTATTGTTCGTTACTACAAACATACATACGGATTTCTTAAAATTCACGTAAACATGCAACTGTTTGCTTCTTCTCTAGTAGCTACAATGGGCGCTGCAGTTATTGCTACTATTAGCAAGACTATATGCGTGCATGCAAAGGTCGGGCTGGTCGTGTACGGCTTTACCTACGTACAATTGGGGTTGGGTGTTTGTTCTTTCTGGCTTTTAAAGAAAATAGAATCTGTGAACGAAGGTATTCCTCGAATAATTAAACGGGCCCATCGATACATTGGAGGATCACTTATAGTTGCGGCCCTTGTCAACGTTTACCTCGGTATCCAGCAATTTAGTTTACAATATGGGTATAACGACTTACCATTGAGGATTGCTTATATAGCATACGTATCAGTCGTTGTCATTGTATTTATATTCGCCGAGTTGTGGCGCACGTTTGATGGAGTCTTTGTCGCCAGATCATGTCGAAAAGAAGATATTGCAGAAGCAAAGAATATGTTGTATGCATATCTCACTGTCGAAAAACATGCTGATTTGCCGGAATATACTTGGGATGAAATCAACGAAAGGGTGCAGCGTGGTGTGAGTATAGAATACTATTGTAATAAGCGTGATTTTTGGTGTTGGGGACAAAGATGCTAAAATCCTCTTTTTTTTTTTTAAAGGCATTTTTGGTTGTTTGTGATGGTCTGGTTGCCGATATCAGGAAATGGATCAGTATACATCCAGGCGGTTCCAAAATTTTAGAAAGAGTTATTGGAACTGATATTACTAACGGTAAGTTAACGGAAATGGCTATGCAGTATATAATCTATATAACGTTTTTTAATATTATTGTCCGATTGTCAACACACATACAGACTTTTACGACACGCACAAAATAGACTTGATAAAACAAAAGGAAAAAGAAGAAGCTATAGAAAATAAAGATATGATCTTTTCTCAGCCAGCCAGTCTTATCTCCCCAGTGCTAGGCGAATTTTCTCATCTGTGGGAAAAACGAAAAGAGATGACGGCCCGCCACCGAAAGACAATTTTGACCACTCTTGACGACACAAACATTAAAATTTTCCATAAATCTCGCGTTCCAATCGCGCGTCACAAGCACACGGCATTTGCCACCATGCAGTTTGCATCAATGGTTATCGGAAAAGTGGCGGAAACTAACTATACAGTAGACAAGAGTCTCGACGTTTTCGACCCGAACCTCAGATCACACTTTAGACCAGAGACTACGCCGTTCTTGGAGTTTGATATTGCAAAGGATACGTCAAACAGAGTGTTTAGAAGATATCAATTGACTGCCAAGGAAATGATAAACGCCAATCCGGAATCTCCAGTCTACAGATTAACCTTTACCAAAGTACATCAACCCAAGAAAGCCGGTGGCGACCGTTTTCTCCCTGGTGATTACGTCGAACTTCAAGGTCGTGTTAAAGGACAAGTGATTGTGCGTAGTTACACTCCCATCGAGGGACGTATGTCGAATACGTTCTCCATCATTGTGAAAATCTACCCTGACGGTCTCATGTCACAACTCCTTCATAACCAGCTAGTAGGATATGAAGTCAAAATCCGCGGACCGTTTGATATATCTGATCGTATTGGAGTTTCGCACCTGTCACAGAATGAGTTGTCGACAGTTATGGGAAGAAGATTTAGCACGACTCGTTCTGAAGTGAGCATGAATAGTAATTTTAACGGACATTTATTACTGAATCCTGATGCGTCTGATGGGTGTTGGGATGAATTGTTTATGATTGCTGGTGGTACGGGTGTTACACCCATGTTACAGGTGAGTTGTAGAGTAGAGAGAGAGAGAGAGGGCAATGTCGAATAACGTTGCTGACGTGCGTCACGTAATATCTGTATTCGTACTCATCGCAAATTTTCCCTTTTCTTTGTAGTTAATCAAATACTACCTAAAAACGATAGCTTCAAACCGCGACCGTCGCCTTTCAATGCATTTACTTTTCGCCAATGAAACGGTTGAAGACATTATCGACGGTCTTAAACTCGAAGGTTTTGCAGCTATAAGCAAAGGGATGCTGACAGTTACTTACATTCTTACGAACCCACCTGAAAATTGGAACGGTCTTTCCGGCCACGTTAATACGGAAATTCTTAATAACTGGATTAGTCACCATGCGCGAAGAGACACGATATTCAATCAACCGTCGATGCCACAGCCATTGACTAGTAGCGTGGGACAGGAATCATCATATTACGATGATCAAACGGGGTCTGAACCTCGATACGCTCATGCGGAACTTGACGAGGTTAACAATGAAGTAATACACGCAACCGTTGAGACCGTTGGGAGCGTAGATGAAGTTAACCAAGAAGTAATAAGCACATCTAGTCATGGTGTTAGCACTACAGACCACGAGATAATAGGATCACCACTCACGCCGTCCACTCCTCGTCCTCTTCCTCCTCTTCCAATCAGTCCATCACATGTCCTTAATAATAATAACAATCCTTTGAACCGTCATACAAGTCTTCTCAGTTCTCCGTATTCGCCAACAGCCCAAGGTAGTCCTCTATTAAGTCCATTACTGTCACCCACGCCGTCGAATGCTTATTACCAAATACCGAGGATGAAAATTGTTGCATGTGGACCTTCGCCAATGTTGCTGGTCGTGCAGAATTCTTTGAAGGATATGGGTTACTCTGACGACGATATTATCATGATGTTTTAATGGACTAGTAGGATGTAATATGTAACAAGTAGATAGTAAGTTTGTGTTCTGCTATAGATGTATTATTATTTACTAATGTATTAATAATCAAATGCTTTAAATTTGGGGGGTAATCGGGATCGATATATATAAATATGACAAGTCTGTGAAAATAAATTTGATTTTACACAAGTCTGTCCACAAAACAATACAAAGATGCCATGTTGACAATAGTGAGATTGTTACGCTCAAGAGTAGTTTGATCTATATGGGATACATTTCCACAAATGAGAGAATTTTAGTCAAAATTCGCAAGTCAAAACGTCCGGACATTGTTTATTGAATGGATTCCTTCCTCGCGGCAGTTAAATAGATATTAGTATGATATTTTGGGCGGACTGTGATCATCGATACCTCCTCTGAAAGCATCCAGTGCATTGAAAGTTTATTTGAACGAATCTATATATAAGTACCATTTATCGTAAATTTCTGTGCTCGGAGTGACCGGGAGTGTATCTACAACATTTTCTCGTTACACCATTATTATTATGTCATCATATTTCAGTATTTTGGACCTTGGTCATATCCGTCATTTTTTATCATGCGTGCGAAATAAACTCATTGAAAATGTGAGATATGACTCATATGAGTAAACCATGCTGGCTGGTTGACGCGCGGAAAACTATGACACCCATGAATGTACAATACGTAGGAAGTGAATGCGAATTGTCATTGGTTATTATAAGCCACGTGATATGGTACCCGGGTCTTTTACAAATCCATTGCCTTATATGGTGGGGGACGGGGGGACTTTATACATTATTGGCTTGTTCATCAAAATAGCAATTTGCAGAAAAACACGTATTTGCTAAATTTGAACTTTGTGAGATAGTTCAACGTCTGTTATTAGAGCTTACCCTTGATTCCCTGTTCCACACATCCCTATCAAATGAATTGTCCCATTGCATTTCGTCCACTTTTTGTATATTCTTATAGACAACTCTTTATAATAATCATAAATAATTCTTATTGTTCAGGAGATTGCTATCTGGCTTTTGCATAAATCATAATCTTATGATTCCTCACGATTATGGCTTTGACATAAATCATAAATCTTATGGTTCCTCTCTATTGCTTACACCATTGTTGGTATTGCAACATTGTATAACAACACTTAAAGAAAGCTGAAAGGGTGTATTCCCATCTTCGTTTGAAGCATTGCATGCTTGATATATTAAACGAGCCAAGTAGACGAGCAGTGGGAGAATGATAGTGCTAGCAACACAAGTCGCTACTGAAATAAATAAAACAAACCATATTTAGACGTATCGAAAAACAGGGGAAGCGAGCACTTACAGGTATATTACTCACTTATAATCTCAGTTTTGGCCGAAGAAAATGATGTACTAGTTATTAGTGAAGGTATACATGCGTTAATGTCAAAACTCTATTACACAATAAGCTTTTTCTTATTACCTTTCTACTGCCCACTCAGAAGTGTTATACGTCGATAAAAAATCGGTTTGCGCACCACTAATCCAGAAGTTTGTTATTCGAAGAACGTGATAACTGACATTGGAAATATACCAATTTGATACTTTACCAGGATGTCATAGTAGCATGAGAGCTAGCCATTAAAAGTGCTATGATCTTTGTGGTTACAAACGCTGGTTGTATCTGTAAAATCCCTCTTTACTGAAAATTTGAGTCGAGCAGTCTTAACTATTAAACTGTTTAGTCGTTTCGGCTCTTTATAAGATCCTGTAGCATATAAAAATTATCGCTCGAGAGTACTCTTCTTCAGGTGTGCGGAGATCGTATTTCGTAAACATAAATGTTTCAACAATTAATGCGTAAATAAATACAACTGCGGGATAAGTTATACTAAAGATGTTATACTGAGTTATTAAAGATGTGGATGTGGATGTATTTGTGACGAGATTAGGAGTGAATTATTTCAGAAGCGTACGAATTTTAAGATGAAGAATGCAAATTTCTCTACTGTTATCTATCCGATATTGTCAACGTTTAGAACTTATTCGTTTTTTATATACCTTTTCATGTGTTACGGGATAGTCGGAAATAAGAAGGTGATAGTTACATTTCTTTTGTTAGGCATAATCGTCAGTGGTGGCACAAAAGAATGTTCTGTTGTGTTGACAGTAGTACGACACGATGATTTTCTAACAATGGCATTAATAAACGTTATAATCATTGCGAAGTTTTCCTTGAGATGCTAATTAATTTAAAAAGCATGTATATCGATATTGCTTTGCCTAATTATGCAAATGGTAGTTGCTTGCATCTCGCACACTGACCAACATCGGGACTAGCTTTAATCGGGGGGGATATTATTATTATGGGAGGCATTTATTTCATTTCACCGACAGTGCATTTTACCGACAGTCGTTTCACGTAAACACATTGTTTATCGCACTTATCATTGGTTTTTCGATGAAATTTATGTAGTAACTGAGTTATTACAATTCATTTTTACTATAAGTCTATCGAAAATTATTTACCCCTTAAGTAATTTCCTTATTAGAGCAGGAGCCATTATTAGAAAAAATACCAATACTTTTGACCATATGGTTTGTGTAGCTTTAGATCACGAGGTTGCCTTTTTTTCCGGCATGAATAAGTTACTAATTTATGTATGTTGTGAATAAAAGTTCCTCGCGATAGTTACTAATTTATGTAACAGCTTAACTAGGCTTTAGCAAGCACCTCGTTGTGAATTAAAGTTCCTCGCGGTAGTTACTAATTTATGTACTGTCGGTGGAATGATTGTCGGTGAAATGAACCGGACCCATTATTATACTGTATATTAACTAGAATAGTAAAAAACCTGCTGCGCAGAGCACTGAACTTACAAACATATTTTTAAACAAATGGCCGTAGAATTATAATTTAAAATTAGAGTTAGTACAGACTAGAGATTTTAGGGTTATAAGCATATGATACTTATGTATCATCTAGTTTTAACAAAGTATTTAGTAATATTCAATAAATTATTTCATGAAAAATGGGTGTTGAAATGCAAATAATAAAACCACCGGTGTTAGCTAACAATAATAAAATCTACATTCATGTAACACAATAATTGTGAATAACTTTTTGATTGCAAACAAGTCATTGGATCGACAGATAGAAATGATCAGCGATTTGCATCGAACACTAATAATTAGCAGAATTAGTTAGTTTAGGAGCAGCTATTGACACAGATATTTCATTGATTTATCGTTAATAACTCGATACTCGTGGAATTTTTAACGAGTATTAAATATACCTATTGTTAAGTCGATGTTAAAAATTAACTGAGAATATAAAGAACAATTTCGAGATTATCTCAAAAATTGATTTCGCGGAAATCAAGTTTCGATTGCTTAATTAATGGTTAATAACTCAACAACAAATGCTTTGAAAAATTTAATGCGTGTTAAATACAACTTTCATTGAAGAATATCAAGTGCGATGTCAGAAATAGATTTTACGGAAATCGATTTTTATCATTCGCTTTTTTAACTCAACAATGAAGGGTTCCTGATAATCGTGAAATTTAAATGGGTAGATATGATGTACACGTTAAAAAATAATGACATCAGATGTAAATTGGGAGTTGCAATCTTTTGGGTTTGCAGTACGAAATATACAAATAACAAAATAATAAATGCTATAAAACAAAACTCCCTTTTACCAACACCTTTTCCTTTTGTCAAGCCTAGGTCTAAAAGGCATATTCCTCGCCCAATGGTACAAATATTCCGATCTGTGGCACAGTAAATATTTGGCACACAAACACCAGATTCGACCGCATCGGGACAGATTTGGTGTCAGATATAGATGACCCGATACATCCACATCTGGTGTCAAATACTACGCAGCTAATCGCTCTCGATATATCGAAATATGGTGTCAAAATAGTGAAATGGTAGTCAGATATATAAGCAGCTGTAGTTTTCCGCTCTGAACATTGTCTTTAGTTTTCAGTTTAGTCTTCAGTATTTGATTCTATTTGTCCTTATAATTTTTGTAATTAGAATAGCTCTTTGAATTCTAATAAATCTGTAATTACGTGTAATATAAGTTGTTATTTTTGTTCATTCCCTGGTGAGTTTTATTCGATCGCCGGTTAAGTGATAAAATCGGTTTCTCGATCAGCGGTTAATAAGTTTGAACTTGCCAATAAACTTATCGGAACTTAGGCATCAGGATTTCTATTTAATTGCATGTTTAACGCGTTACTATTTATAAACTTTCCCCGT